AAAAGCTAGTCGAGCCTTTTGTATCCGCGCTGAGACTTCGTCACACACCAGACCACAAGGGCTGACGAGACTTCCCAGATAAGTGAAGCGGCCGACACGCTAGTTTTTGAGATTAATAAAGTGCCTAAATACCCATACCCTAGATTATTTTGACAACTTAATAAAATCCTTTTGAGGTCTATCATCGGTGAATAAAAAAACCCCATCACTCTAAAGAGTCAGTTTTATACTACTGGTATTAATTTAGTAGAATAAATTGTATGAACTAAAATAGATTAACGAGCTTCCTTAGAAGACATGTCTAAAATGTACAATTTTCCAAATGTTAGTCGTTCACCACCAGATACCGGTATTTCATGAAAATCATCCTCATGCAAATGATTCTCGGAACATCGGAATACAACACCATCCTTAATAGAAGTAAATTTAAAGAACTCTAAAGCTAACTGAAGCATTAAGTTTACGAAAGTCAAAAGTGCGAGCGCAGTTATAAAGTACGGCGAGATAAAGTAATGAACAGCTACTCGATGTTACTAAGTGGTCTCACTTACATAGAGTAATCCATAAATTGAGAACTGTTTTATAAACTTCCCATAATTATTCATAATCTATACCAACACACAGTATAAAAGGTATAAATGAAAAAGCTTTATACTTAGTTTTTCATGATTAATTAGGATACCCAGTGTTGCTTTGAAATAAATACCATGGTTCATGCAGTCTTGCTAAGATTTTTTAAGAATCATAGCATTTCCTCTGGTGTCGGTAAAATTTCAATCTATTTCATGTTGACTCCACAGTTTTAAGGGATTTCATAAGCGTTAAAATTTCGTAATTAGGAAAGATATCGGATATTCGTTAGATTCAGACCATATATCTCGAAAATAACTAGCTCTGATAAATTGATTATTTTGTGTTCACATTTGCTGCACTAGTTATGGTCAATTTAATTTGCCTTCTTAATACATCAAGTTCATTTCCCAAAGTATAAATCTTTAGAATAATTAATTTTAAGCAATCCTTTGTGAGGCAAACCCTAACTTGGAATCCTGAAGAGAAACGAAAAAGAGGAAGGCCAAAGAACACATTACGTCGAGAAATAGAAGCAAATATGGAAAGGATGAATAATAACTGGAAAGGATTGCCCAAGACAGGGTTGAATAAAGAGTGATGGTGGGGGCTTATGCTCCTCTATAAGGAGTAACAGGCGTAAGTAAGTTTGTGAGGTACTCATGCTCTAAATGGTCTCCACAATATAACCCAAAAATAAACATGTTTCACTTTCACATAACTTATTTTATAAATACATCAACAACAGTCAATGCAGAATGACAAATATTCATTGAATTCCTTGGCCAAGATAAATTCCGTCCAGTTAAAATTACATTTTATTTAAGAACACTACTAGGAACTGTATCATGACTATAAATGCCTTCCTTCCTCATTTATGTCTGCAGCCACTAAATTGCATGATCCTTAAGACCCTAATCACAAAATCTCAATGAGTCGGGACAGGTTAATCCAACCAATACGACTTACTACTTGGACACGACAATCCGTGGGTCTAATTTACTTAAAACAATTGGTTGATAGTGATGAATTTTTGACCACCAGATGAGTTATATGAACGCGTGATCAGAATCCTGACAGGGAGTTAGGAGTGTGAAAGATCTTTACTTACAAGCACCATCGATAACTAATAGCGATATGATCTATTTGAGTTTAAGAAATAGAACACCAAGTAACATGCCATCGACAGATGTCTATGAATTTGGCGTTTTTCGAAAATATTTTAGCATTTCCGCAACTCTATACAAGGTTATTTCTAGCATTTAATCTACCACAAAAAAAATTGATCGAAACAGTTTTCTCTGTTCTCATTTTATCACGTATATTTGCGTATTTAGCTAGTCCAATGCAATCTGTTCAGCTCGTTTTGTTAAAGCTATCGAATTCATGGAAGAACACTTCTTTAGTTGGATTTTAGTGCAATATGAGAAGACATATGTATACCACTGTATTCTTTGCCAATTACTTTTTATTTTAAATGAACTTGATAGCCCAGAATCATATGAAACTTTTCTGAGGACCCTTTCAATTAGTGTTGCTTTGTCTGTAGTGCTTAGTGCAGCACCAATCCAACTAGGTTGGACATAAATTACAATAAGAAATACGTTGTTAGTACTTTTCAAATCTCTACCATTCTTCTGATTAAAGAGAGACCTTTGAGTGATATATCTTGTCCATTCGATATGACAACTTTGTCAAGTGAAAATATGATCCATAAATATTACGTCAATATCAAGATTCTTGCACCGAAAAACATCATCCATAGAATTCTTTTAAGATGCTGGAACGTCTTCCCCTAGATACGCCACAATAAACAGTATTGTTAATAATGATCAATCACATCGTTTTCAACAAATATTTAACTGCTGTTTACACGACAAAAAACCTAACAAGAGAGCGCAATAGAACAAGCCTTTACATCGGTTGCACAAGTAGACATCATCCCAAAATAATTAATCATAGTAAGATATACTATAGGAACACACTAAATCGAAAATAATATATGTCAAACGATTTACTACTAATCCGATAAATAACAAGCTTAGTGATTCAATAGGTTTGCACTAACTAGTGTGAGAATTTACACTTTATAATAATAATAATAATAATAATAATAATAATAATAATAATAATAATAATAATAATAATAATAATAATAATAATGTTTTCAATAAATGATATATTTATCTAACTGTTGATCACGGAAAACACAAATTACGAAAAACTAAAAAACGAACGAGAAAATTGAGCAAATATCGAGTTATAAAGAACAAAGTCAGTCAGCTACAACGTAGGACCAGGCATATATGTGCATCGGTCCAGGTTGCCATACTTCATTAGCACAGCAAGATGGACACCGGATTCATAGGAGTGGTTAGGTCAAAGGTTGCAATAAAAATATAGTATAGGAAGAAAGAATTAGTTCGTAGAAAGAAAGATATGAAGTGATTTTAATCTCTTAGTTTAAGGGAAGACAGGGAGTGTATACACCGACGCCATTGTGATCGATTCTGAGCCATGTCACCAAGAGTCTCCAACCATTGGTTACGAAAGTCACGCGGACCCCAACCAAGTAGTCTGCATCTACCAACATGGCTCAGACTAGAAGTTAGTGACTTCAGGCACTGATGCCACGTTTTGGTTTGGCCGCCCCTAACTTTTTTCCAACCATCCCCTACTCCGGTTAGCATTGCACGTCGTGGTAATCGGTGTTCAGGCATACGTAATACGTGGCCCAACCATCTCAGTCGATGAAGATTCATAACCTCATCAACTGATTTACCATCATTCCCTAATACCCTGCGTCTAACCTCACTATTACTTACCCGGTGATCCCAGCAGATGCCAGCAATATTTCTAAGGCATCTGTGGTCAAATACTAGTAGCTTACGGGTGTCTTCCACTCTTAAAGGCCATGTTTCGCTGCCGTAAAGTAAGACAGAACGGACTGCCGCGCAGTATACTCGTCCTTTTATTGATAGACGGATATCTCGCCTTCGCCAAAGGTGACGTAAGTTGGCAAAAGCCAAACGAGCTTTTCGAATCCGTGCTGAGATTTCGTCAGACACCAACCCATTAGGGCTGATCAGACTTCCAAGATAAGTGAAGTTGTCGACGCGTTCGACTACTTCACTCCCTATCCTTAGTTCAGGTGTTGACCCAGACCAGCCCTGAAGCAACAACTTGCATTTAGAGGGAGAGAAGCTCATCCCAAACATTCTGGCATTGTTGCTTAGTGCTACCAGAAGACTCTGCATTTTGTCAGCGTCTTCACCAAACAGGACTATGTCATCTGCGTATTCTAAGTCGATAAGTGGACCTCCTGGAAGGAGATCAATACCCGAGAATTCAGTCGACGAGAGTGTTATTTCCATCAATAGGTCTATGATGAAGTTAAACAAAAATGGAGAAAGTGGACAGCCTTGACGGACACCACTTGAGGTTGCAAAAGTAGACGACAGTTCGCCATAAGCCCTGACTCGACTAGTAGTGTTCGAGTAAAGAGCCTTCACAAGGTTTATGTACTTCTGAGGTACGCCTTTCAATGACAGACACTGCCACAGAGTCTCTCGGTCTACAGAATCAAATGCTGCTTTTAAGTCAAGAAAGACCACCATCGTCGGACGCCGATAGGTATGCCTGTGTTCTAGAACCTGACGAATGGTGAATATGTGGTCGATGCAGCCACGACCAGGTCTAAAGCCAGCTTGGTTCTCTCGAGTTTGTAGTTCACGAGTCTTAGTTAGGCGTTGTTGTTGCTACCTTGACGTGGTGGTCGGGCTTGCCTATCGTGATGAAGCAACCGAGCTATACTGGCTGGAACAACCGTTCCTCAAGGTCCTACCATGTCAGACAGGTCGGTTGAAGAGCGGTAAGACTAAAAGCAACAAACCCAAGGTCCGAAGGCGAAGTCGTACTGCTGACTGTACAGAGGTGTGACAGCAGTAAGGTGTTTCCTTCAGACAACCAGCATGACAGCGATGCTGCCTTCCCACAAGGAGGGGTGGGGTTAGAAAAGGTCGACCCTAAAAATGCACACCTCACCTTACCTCACGGATTTCCGTCTCCGGCGGTAAGGCCCTTTGAAGAACGGAGCTAACACGTCAAAAACCTCCTACGAAAAGGCCGTGCGCGACCGGCCTCAAGCAGTTGTCCCTTGGGCACTGCGGTCACGCTCTCAGGTCACTAAGACCACCTTTAATCCAATTTCCTTTTCAGGTACCTCCTCCTCCATAAAGAACAAAACCTTGAAACAATTAGGTCAGTTTCCTAGAAAAGTACATAGATTGCAAAAAGACAAGAGTATGTTAGAAAATAATTGCGACACTGTAGTTTTGCACCTCTAATTTCGAAGATGTTTGGCATATATACTGTATCTTGTTCAGAACATGATCGGTAAGAGTAACACATAAATGAACAACTAGAGATTTCATTAAAAATCATAATGAATTTTTCAAGGTATTTTTCATAGTCATGTACATAAAAGATAGAATATAAACGATTAATTTCGACAAAAATGTTAATTAAAGTACAATATATAATGTCTGATCTATTTAAAACGAGATTATAAAACACAACGTGATAAAAAGAATCATTCGCTAATAGAACTAGTGCTATCATTTCGGTTTTGGTCCTCGGAAAGGCGTCTATAAGATGAAGAGTAACTAAATCGTTGAATCAGTGAATAACAACACAAGATATTTTGATTTCTACTAAGAATGGGACGACTGTACAGTATTAAGCCTGTGAAACACGGAATTAAAGAAAGGCCAGAATTTACAGCTGTAAAAACTCTTGTTACGGTATGTGAGTTGGAAATCTAAAAATTAAGTGAAAGAGGAAGAAATTTCAAAGTGATTAATTTCAGGGGTTTGGTTACATAAAAGTTATTTTCTTAGAAATCTTGAGTTGATATAAGCGGAAGAACTACTGAAACGTATGGTTTTTGAGTAACAGAGACTGGGTAATTACGGGAACCCAGTCTGTGATTATTTTAATATGAATTCAAATATCACTGCAATTATTTTCATCGGAAAATTCGGGTAGTATACCTATCTTTTGTGCAATAAATGTAGCACGAAGTAAAATACGTGAAGCTATGCTAAGTGAGTTTAGTTAAACAATCGACATGTTTTTAGTTGATGAATGCTAGCCACTAAATTTTGACCATCGGTATCAATCGTAATATGGTTAGTGATTGATCTAGCAACCCTAAATTTAGTCATGGATCTTGTTCAGAATGAAATAATTATTTACTGGCCAAAGATTTCCAGTGGTTACTCGATGAACATCATTTGGTCGTGAAAAACTACTTTTTCAAATGTTATACTTTCGTGATGAATCATTGCTAATAATATACACTTCAATAGTTAGCTATCGGATCAAAAAGATTAGATACGATAAAGCACTTTTTAAACCCAATAATCCAGAAAATATCACTTGAGTCATGAATAAGTTGATATAGGTTTTCTACAGTTTTATGAAACGGGTAGACGTTGAAAACTTACATTCGTGAAACATTAACCACAAGTTCTGAACGTCTCAGTCATACATCATAGAAAACCTCATCTAAGATAAGGTACAAAATGAAACAGGTCTATATTGTATGGGGTATTGTAATGCAAAGAAAACGATAGTATTGATATGCATATATCTTATATACATTTTTAAATAATTCGTGACTACTTAAGTTCTTGTATAATTCTACTCAATTAAGCCACTAATTAGTATTAATGTATCTCGTGTTATAACTACAATTATCGTGTCGACGTACATTTCTTTACGTAACACGATTGAGATATTAACATTACTCAATATCTAAAACTGCCAATCTAAGTTTTGTAGCCCATACTGTGAACTAAGAAGTCTACTGGATAGTAAACAATATCATGATACCTAAACCTTTGTGATAATCTAACTCTACAATCACAGCTACGATGTAGCAGGATAACCACTAAGCAGGTCCATGTATACGGAAAAAATAATGACATTGAAACAAATAACCTACCTTATTTGATGACGGATCTGGTGCGAAATTTCCATAGGATATAGCAGCTATTAAACAACACCAATAAACAACGTTTAACAACAGTATCAACCATAATGATATGTAAAATCTCCGTAGCTGAAACCAAAATCAGACTAAAATGTCAGTTTTTATCAGGAAAATGTTGAGCAAATATCCCGAAACCGACTAAACAACTACCTCTGCTCGGAATTATAGTCAGGTGAAATTAAGCTAACAATTTACATCGACATTCAATATTGGTATGTTGTTTTGGAACATTTCGTTTTACCGAAACCTGTCAGAAGGCGGAAATACATGATAGATGTCAAGTGGAGTGGATCGAAATAAACAGCAGTGACATGCTTGGCGACTCTTCATTCAGCTTCAATTTGTGAACATTTCATTAACCAATTGCCATTTATTGTCTATTTAACTCCTTCATGTCATTTGTCCTTATGTTGATCTTATTGAGTCTTTAGGCTATGGTAATATTGTGCCTCCAGTTAAAATTTTCAGTTTGTCTAACAAAAAATAAAGTGGATTTTTGTACCCGTCTTTGACTACAGGACGATCAAACGACGTTGATCTGAATAAAATATATGTCGAACTTGAATTTTTCCTCCCGTACTATGTCCTCATATGCAATCCTTCTTTTATATATTACCAACACTGAATTAAGCACTTCTGTGAATCCGGTGTTCATCTTGTTGTGCTAATGAGGTATGGTAACTTGGACCGATGCAGATATGTGCCTGGTCGTACGTTGTAACTGACTGACCTAATTGGATTCGTATATATTTTTTTCGAAACATCCCACTAACGTAGATAATGCAAAGTCGAATACGGAAGTAATTCAAGACCGTATACTCCAAACAGTTGATAATGCAGGAGAAATAGCCAACTAACTTTTATTAAACGTGGCTCAATATTTATAATCAGACAGAAAAAGACAGGCTAAAGGCATGTGACGAGTGGAGTAGTTGATGAACAAACACACGCAGACAAACACATTAAAACGCTCAAGAATATCAGGGAATACTTGACAAGGGTAAATATATGTGTACACAACTACTGAAAAATACTGATTTATCTGTCTAGGAGTTAGAGTAAATCATGTAGGAGTCCGATAACAGAATTTGCTACAAAAGTAATCACTGTATTTTAATTAGATTTTATCTTAGGGTATTTAGTTGAACCAACTGCTTTACCAGCTGGTCACACGAGGTCCAATTTATCTTCCTGAAAGAATATTAAACATAAGTTTACGAATGTAAATCGTAAAAGGTCTAACGAAATCAGCCTGATTATAACATGTAACAATATGTTGACAAGTTTTAACTTGGAAACTAGATAATACTCACAGAAGTGTAACGCAAGCTAATAATTGTGCGTAGGGCCATCGCTCCAGTGGATAAGACCTACAAATTATTTTTTGAGATAGAATACTTACCAGCACGCCGGTATAAATAGGAAGTCCATAACCACCAGCTAAGCTAAATTCAACAGGATAATTATTGGAATCATTTGGAGATAACGATGGGATAAGGACAGTATCCAATAGTCCTGTGATTGTCAGACATAAGTGTAAACTACCTAAGAATGCACTGGCAAGGCCGAAAAAAGCAAAACTAAATCCTAATATTTGCAGTCCATTCATATACTTAACCAAAACGCGTTCTCCAGATGGGAGGAGTAAGAAACAGTCTCCACGATGTGGGGTTCTTACCTCCTGAACACCGCAATTATCCTGTAGACTCATTTCATCTGGAAAAGCAGCTGAGTACCGTTGGGCTTGAAAAAACGCTACAAGCAAGAGCCAAAGTCTACAATGTATAATGAATAGAAATTAGTAAGCCATTTGTTTTCTAGGATGTACTTTGTCAATCGGAGACGATTCTCGATCGGAAAATTACGTATGTTTTTATGCTACCAGGATCTAAAAGACAAAAACAGTGTAGATCACCAACTTAGATTATCCATGTCGAAATGATTGGAGGCCTACTCGAGTTAGACGTGAATGGTGTGACAAACTAACTTAGTGACATTTCGCTGGCCCTAAAACGGTTAATGGTGGGAGTACAAATGGTCTGAAGAAGCTTTCCCATGATGGGCTTCCATATCTAGCAGCGGTAGATCACCGATACCTCCAAGTAGAAACGTAGGTATATTTATTGATGTAAAGAAAGATATTGGCAAAATACAATTAGATGCTTCAAGGTCATCGCTCGGTATGCTTGAATATATATCGTCAGATGATGTCCTGAGTCCTTAAAAATATGACAAGTTTTCTCCTGGTGAATTCACGAAAGGTCACCCGACCTACCTCAGTCAGAAGCAAACTCTAGAATTTGACAACTCGTAAAGTTAAGAAATACTTACAGTCCATCCTGCTTTGTTGTGTCTATAACTTCTGGGTGTTAATTCTAATGTTTGTTCTGGAAATGAGCCTAAGCGAGTACTAAAAGGGTATCCGTGAGTGTTTACGGTGCCAGGAGGCACTAGGAGGTCATCTCTCAGGCTTCTATACTCGAATTGGTCTGAATTTGTGACCCGAACTGGTTTCGTGGCTCGCCCGTTTAGCGAGGAAGGGAACATCATATTTCCATACTCTAAATAAAGCCACGGTTGGCGCAAGAATTCAGGTCGTAGAGTACCAACACTCCTAGATCTTTATCAACTTGTCGTACCACTAGAGAGGAGTTACCTAAGTTGTATACGTAGTGTACAACATGTCTCAGATAGACTACTTTACACTTCGAAGTGTTGAAAGTGAGTCCGTTTCTATCCTCCCAACTTTGAAGTGGAGTTAGACCCTTCTGAAGTGCCAACTTATCATCTTGGTTGAAAACGTCTCCCTGTAGTTTTGCATCGTCAGCCAAAAGTGATGAAGCAGACGATATTTGCTGAAAGAGGTGGTTTATATAGATTAAGACTGTAAGTAGTATTGATACTGAACCCTTATTAACCCCACTAGGACATTATGTGGCTTGAAAAAAAGCAAAGTGCACCCTGACCCTAAAAAGTCGATTATTTAGGTTATCAGCGGTGACCTGATACCTAACATTTTGAGCTTACTGGAAAGACATCCATCCATTTGTTTTGAGAGTATTAAGAAAAGTGCTTTCAGCAATTATCTTGAAGACTTATCGCTTTTAATTTTTTTGAAAATTGGTTTCACGTGCTCCAGCTTTTAATTTTATGGTCAACTGCCACGGCTTAACGAGTGTGAGACCATCACACTTGTTCGCGTTGCCAAACATGTAGCCGCTGCTCTCTGAAAGGACCATATCCAGATTTGGAGAAGTGTTCTTCTTTAGATACTGATTTTGTATATCAGTTCAATGTATAGATTTACTACTAAGACTCCTCTTAATTTATATGTGAATACCTAATCGATGTAAGTTATACGTGAAAGTTGAAATGTTCAAAAATACTGCTTTCCCAGGAACTGTGAAGAATCACCATCATTGTCCATTAGGCCAGTATGACCTAACAACTGAGAAACTCCGGATTTGGTTCATCGAAGAGAGGTTGCATGACGGAGTGATCTCTCTCGGTCAGAGACAAATATATCGATCAGCTTTACCTGATTTTGAAACCTATCTTCACTTACAGCCTTGGTGCACTGGCTTCTTGCTTATTTGAACTGTCTTTATGTACTGTCATCACTGATCCGTTCATATTGCGCCCAGTAGTGACTTTTGCATAGTAGCATTTAAAGCGTGAAATTTTTTACGACTGTAAGTTGCTTTCAATATTTAGTGGAAGCTTGCAGGACAGACTGTTTTGTATCGCATAAGATCGTATGTAGTCAGAAATCACAATGAGCATCCACGTTACGTTGAAGGTGGGCTTTCACGTTCATCTACTGTATATTGACTTGTAAAACGGATTCATTCAACCGTTTGAAATTCCAGTATTTGTTGTTAGCAGGATGTTTTAACTAAGTTTTGATGGTAAAATGAAGGCTATGATGGCATGATCGCTTTTGTTCAGGGAAATCAGGGTTAAGAGCTTGCCAACTAGAAATTCTTCGTTCATAATTACGCAGTCTAATCTTGTTCGCATCTGACCGTTTCTCTACCGATTCGTTAACCTCACATCTTAGAATAATTTCAGATCTTCACTGAGGTTGAAGGACCGAGCTTCAGCAGCGTTGTCATCTCCAATCTACTTGTGTTCAGCAGAGATGTCTTTAGGGATACTGAAGTCTCTTAAAATTAGTATGTGCGTGTGTCGAATTATGGTCTAATATGATATTAGTGCTACTCTAATAATAGACCTAATCCTAAGTTTGTAGATTTGTCATGATATAACTGCCTAATCTATAAGATCTTACGTGGAAGTCACACCATCGACTACGCCAACTCACTGTATCGTATCAATTACCAATACATGATGTAGAACAAGGTTAGGCTAGAGAAAGAACAATATATTTAATATGAATAGGAGATATAAGATAACATTCAGCAGGGACCACGCCTGCGTGGCCGAGCCATGCCGTTCGATCAACTCTAATTCCTTCAATTCATTGTTCGCGCCTTCTCCATTGTTAGGTATTTCTCGGCGTTAAATATTGAATATCTGTTTTCTGAGTAGTCTCGTGTTCAGCTTTGTGGATTGTGTGGCTATTGTCCAATGCCACTACAAGTGTATCGGAGATTAATAGAGTAGGACGATTCCTCCAGCATATGACTATCGTACTCAGTGTCGCCCGTGAGCCTCCTGTAGATGACTCTAACGAGACATCCAGAGATATTAAACGATCTCCCTGAGAATCATAAAGATTCATCAAGACTGGAATATGTATGAATGTGCACATGATGTACTACCAAACAGGATCGTAGGCAAAGAGCTTGCTTGTCTCTCACTCCAGTGTTTCTATAGTTGGGAAATAGGAACACATTGGGTGTCAACAGCTCCTGATCAGCCTGTTTTAAAGATGCTTTTGTCCCAGATATTTCCATCAGATGAGTATTAATGGCATTGTTTAGTCCACCCAACTCATACATTTAACTTGGTAGACTCGCAGCAATCATGTATAACCAGTTGGTGCTGGTATTCTATAACCAATAACGTACATTTGTTTGCAGAGTTTCTCCACAGAATATCAGCTAGCTTGAGTCAAAAACTACTCCGAAATGTTTCTATTGTTTGCCTAGGACCTCGACTATCATCGTCAACACTGACATTGGGAAAACCAACTGACTGGTTTCCTACTTCTCTGGAAGAGAACAGTACACTATGATTGGAGGAAAGTGTTCAATGTCTCTACTGTCTCATGAAGGTGTGCCACAAGGAGATATTCTTTCCTGCTCTTCTCTCTTTTTTCTACACGATCTGCCATATTCCATAAGAAACACTTTTGTAAAATATGTGAAGGATCTGACTGCATGTGTGCCGCATTTATATTCAACAACAAAAGAAACGATACAAATAAAGAAATAACAAAGGATAAATCACAGGAAGAACGAATATTAAAGGACTTTCTCATATATTCTTGTAAATAAATGTAATAGGTATTTGCACCTTCTACACTGACTTTTTCTTCATTTTCATCGACAGCCGACGACTACAAGAAAAGGTCTTTGGTATCAAACAGCCGGCTTAAAACCACATGCTACGGATGAAGTGTGAAGTCACTGGAACACACAAACGACCACTCTGTGTCGAAAGCCTAGAATCCTTACGCTTTTTCTCTCTTGTCTCCCATTCTTGACAGTTCGGTGGTGACATTTTAGATTTTTATTACGTTTAAAAGAAAATAGTGCAAAACATCTCTTTTTGGTACGCTTGTAACAGCTTAGGTTGGTTGATTAAGAGTTGACACCAAACAACCAAGCATATGCCAAAACAGTATTGTTCAAGTATTCATTCACTTCCTTATTTTGTATAAGCGTTATATTCCCTAATATCTTATATTGAATGTTGAGAGCCTTTGTTTGTCTGAACAGATAATCCCACGCTCCACTGTGACTGCGCGAAGATCGAAATAAAGACCTATTCACTACTTCTCTGGTTTCTTCTATCAATAGCACGAGGGTTACCTTAAGGCACGAAAGTGGTGAGCCCTTTTTGAACACAAATTCAACCTCATTTCTGTTATTAACATTTTTTTACTTAATCGTAAAAGTAGACTTGATTATCCGTAAACTAAGTTGAGTATATAATTAGTTTATTCCGTATTAGCTTAAGTTTTTCGTGCTATAGTAACCATTTTTGTGCTAACTTTATTGCTATATTTGTCACATACCTCATGTCAGACTCAATAGAAACCCATAATCTGGAGGATTTCTCACCAGTGGAGATAGACACTGTTATGACTACGAAATCCCGACTTCCAGAGTTTGATCGTAGTGATCCTGAGTTGTGGTTTGCTCAACTAGAGCATTATTTCACGAGACACAATATCAAATCTGAAGGGATTCGCTATAGAGACTTGTGTTCTATCCTTCCTCCTTCAGTCGCCAAAGAAGTCCGTGACTTGATTTTAGATCCACCATCACCACAACCATACATCATCTTAAGACGAATGATAATAAACCGTTTATCATTATCAGATAGTCAAAGAATTCAAAGACTTTTTCAAGGTGAAACACTAGGTGATCGGTCGCCGTCACAGTTTTTACGTCACCTCCAAGTCTTAGTGGGTGATAACACAGTGGGTGAAGCAGTCCTAAAATAAGGATGGATACAAGCTCTCCCATACTACGTCCAACACTATTTGGATGCACAAGATCCTGAAACCTCATTATCTCATTTAGCGCGTATAGCCGACAGAATAATGGAAAGAGGTCCTCCAACTGGATCAGTCACAATAAATCACACACAAAAAGTAGAATCAGCAAAAGACCCCGTCATAGAAGGACTCATTGCGAGTGTTAAGAGTCTCACTGAGGCTGTCACCAGAATGCAAATGGGTCATAGAAA